GCTGCAGTATTGGAAAAAAAGAAATGAGGGTTATAGTGGATCATGGACTAAATAGGAGTCAACAGTGTGCTCTTATTGCAAAAAGCCCCATAGCATACTGGGTTAGATTAGCAGGACTGCCACTTGCAAATCAAGTGATTATTCCACTTTATTCAGTTCTGATGAGGCTTCACTTGGAATATGTGTCCACACTTCAAGAAAGACACAGACAAGTTGTAAGAAATCCAGCAGAGAACAACAATGATTAGAGGTCTAGGAAATATAATTTACAAGGAAAGTTTAGAGGAACTGGATTCATTTTGTTTGGAGAAAAAGACTTCGTGGGGCTGGGAGGATTTGATAACTGCCTTTAAATACCAGAAAGATGACGATATAGAGGATGGTGATAGTCTGGGTTTTTTTTTCACCTGAAGGAGACAGGACAAGGAGCAACAATTTTAAATTGTAACAAGGGAAATTTAGGTTAGATATTGGGAAGAAGTTTCTTACAACATTTAATATTGGACCATATTACTTAGAGATCTTGTTAGTCTGTATGAACAGATTAGACAAAAGGTTCGATGAGATTGTTTGATGATCCTCTCTTGAGTAGAGGGCTGGACTAGTGGACTTCCAACCTTCCAGCCCTATTTTTCTATGATTTAACTTTCTTATAATTCCAGATTTCCTTGTGAAAAGCTGTTCTTTAGATACAGTAGGTAGAAGCCATTTCACTCCCACAAAATACATAGATTCATAGATACTAGGGCTGGAAGGGACCTCAGAAGATCATTGAGTCCAGCCCCCTGCCCCAGGGGCAGGAAGTCAGCAGGGGTCATAGGACCCCAGCAAGATAAACATCCAAATGTCTCTTGAAGGTGTTCAAAGTAGGTACTTGAACCACCTCTGGCGGCAGTCTATTCCAAACCTTGGGGGCTCGTACAATAAAGAAGTTCTTCCTTTATGTCCAGCCTGAAATGGCCATGGAGGAGTTCGTGACCATTCAATCTTGTCATCCCTTGGGGCGCTCTGGTGAACAGGTGTTCCCCCAGATCCTGGTGAGCACCCTGATAAACTTATAGGTAGCCACCAGCTCACCCCTGAGAGGCTGAGAGCCATGGGACTCTTCAGCCTGGAAAAGTGCAGGCTCAGGGGTGATCTGGTGGCCACCTGTAAGTTTGTCTTGTCTTTACATCATTGTCTTTCAAATTATTTGTGCAAGGGCCTTTTGTCATTACTACCCAATAAAAATCTCCATAAAAATAGAACATTTCTCTTTGACCATTATGATAACTATTTGTCTGTTTATGTTAAAGTCAGGTTAATATTACTATGATTTTGAGAAACCAGTGTGCCGCAGCATAAGTAGAACATGGCTAAGATATTAACAAAATGAAATATGGTTAGGAGAGTTCTTGTTTGTTCTGTGTGAATGACAGATTAGATAATTTTCAAAGCAGTAGACGTATACTTGTATCTAGAAAAATGTCCATCTAATTTGCATGAACCGTTTAATCGTGTGTCTTACTCATCTATATAGGTGGATAAACACAAACATCAGTGACAAAACTGCATGTAGTATTTTACTTAGAATCAGGCATTAGTTTCTTAGTGTTGCTGAAAGTATACATGTCTGGCCTTTAAGGCCATTTTTGTCTATGGGAACAAAAATCTTAGATTTAATACTCAACTGTCTGAGAACGCCTCTTGCTAATTTACAAACATGTTATTAGCTATTAGGTAATTGATCAAAGAGGGCAAGGTAATAGGTATCTGTGTTTTTATGTGCTTTGTGCTGTCTTCATAAAGATATTGGTCTAACTAACATGTTTCAGGCTACAGCACAAACCTTTCAGTGTTAATGGTTACTCCTGTTATTAAATTATTTTCTAATTGAGATAAGCTCAATTAAACAATTTGAAGGCCCAATGAAATAAAGCACAGAGACTCAAAATTCAATTAATTTCAACTGGAGGACTAAAATGCCACATGCTGAAGACAGCAATGATGGTTATATTCATTAGCAAATTGATGTCACCCAATGCAAGGGCCTGAATAACCCTGAGGATTCAATCCAGCAAAATACTTAGCCAGGTGCTCAACTGAAGTCACAGACCAACTGAAGTAAGAGATATTTCTCTACTCAGTCTTTATTTGTTATTTGTCAGGGGATGATTGGGGCAAGGCCAGCTGGGGCTTGACAGTAGCAAGGTACAAGCCAAGAGATCAGGATCAGGGGTTGAGACTAGGGCCACAAATCAGGCATCAGGAACAAGGACTCAGGCAGAGCCCAAGGGCTAGGAAAAGGCAATGTGTGCTGTTGCTTGCCTTCTGGGCATGGAAAGGGCTGCTGCCTGTGAGCAAACATGTCCCTGCAGGTAACTAGGCTCAGCTGGAAGTAGGCTGTTGGTCACCAGACCCACTCTGGTAGTCTGAGGCCAGCTGGGGCTAGTCAGCCTGTCTCTTGCCTCTGCTTCTGACAGTTTCCCTTTAAGCCCATTCTTGACCTTCTCTGAATTTTTCATAACAAGACAAAATAAAATATCATGCATTTTCAGCCTCAGAGGCCTCACTTGAGACAAAATTCTCAAGGGCAATAGATATTAAGCCTAGGTTATTATTCTGGAAACCGAAAGACCAAAAAAAAATGGTAATACCATGTGGACTTTGGAGAAGGCATAGACATTTGTTATGGATGAGCCATTCATAAATACCATAGAAAAATTTGACATGGATAAGCCATTCATAGATAGCACATGGATGGGATAATGAAGGATAAGCCATCATATCTGTCAGCTGTATTCTTCTCCTGCATATGCTACAATAGTGCAAGAACATTTCTGTTGAACTCAGTCAAGTCACTGTGATATAAAACTTGTACATGAGGGAAGAATAAAGCTTAAAATTCAGTAAGTACAAACAGAGGCCCACTCATTCATGGTAATGTAAAATGAGGGTTAGTCCAGTGGAATTACTCCTAATTTACAACAGCGTGAGAGAGGAAGCTGATGTTTAATATGAATAAAGGATTATAAAACCCATAAATCTCTGTTGCTAACTATTGGTTTTATCACAGGTGTCAGTTTTTGACAGATTTTCTTAAAGCTTTAGCCCTTCAAATCACCTTAGCTTTCATTTAAGCTAAGTAGTTTTAAATGTCATGTGATTTTTGAACATTAAGGGTTATTTTTCCATGCGTTAAATGATCTTAAAATGGGAGTATCTGAATATTAAAGCAGGAAAAGACAGGCTAAATGCCCTTTGTGCATCTTAAAATTACACCTCTGAGTGAGGATCATGTCCAGGGGCTGTTTGGCAGCTTGCATTGAAGTAACATCATTCTTTTCCATGGGGCCAATACCAGGAATTTGCAGTCCTCCAGTATCCCAGGATCCACTTCTCTCAGCTACCCTCCTACCCCCACATGGATGATGTGTCATCCAGAATTCTGCTGCCTTGAATTGACAGAGAGCCGGGGAAACCCTCACGGTTGTCAATGAATAGGGAACTGTGAGGGAGAGGGGGTAGGTGAGCAAGGAATTGATGGGGTGCCATGGAGGGATGGGTTGAGTGGGGAGCTGCCAGAGAACCAGAAAGCCAGGCAACCATGGAGCAGAGTTGGCTGCTCCTAATTGTGCACCTGCTTTCCAGCTCTCCAGTGGCAAGTCAGAGTTGTGCATATTAAAGAGGGTATTAGCCCTTACTGTGCGACTGCACACAGCACATACTAACTTTAATACTGCCTAACGTTCCTTAGAGTTAGCTCATGTAACACCTTAAGAGCTGCTAATACCATTATCCTCTTCCTGCTTTGATTTCTTGTTAACTGTACAAGCGGTCAATCATACACACTTGTCTTCTTGAAACCTATTAAAGCAGGAAAGGAAAAAATCAAGTTGTACTTCTGTTCTCATTCCCAGACAGCCATAACTCACTTAACTCTCCAGCTTTTAGGTGGAAAGCTGCCACTATCTTTCTTTTCCATTTTCTGTGTGCATTTAACAACTTGCACAATCAAGTTTAATAGATTCCCTGTACTATATTTGACAAGTATCTTTAGTTTGGAAAGTGAAGTTATGTCCATTGGCAATGTTAATTTTTTATTTTCTGGTTATCACTAAGCATAGATCACTCTGTCTGCAAGGGTGAAATAAGAGGAAATTCAGTATAGATTGTAAGGCAGGGTGTTGAATGGTATCCTGAATATAGAATACATGCAAATTCATCACTGATCCTTCTCCCAGAATTGCAACACCAACTCACTAAATTGCCATTTGTAGTGAAGCTTAGTGTCATTTATTCTATTCAGGCTGACCTTGGAATTTTGGCCCAAACTCATGAAATCACATTCATTGCTTACTCTCTGGCAAAGAAAGAGGTCTAGCTACATGCCCTGCTTGCTAAAGCATGGAGTTGCATTACCAACCATTGTTGTGCATGTGCTATGCATTTTAGTTTTCTAGGACTGGCCCACTTCACAAGAGTCTGTACTGAACATTTTCAGCAGGGGAAACTGCTCATGAAGATAGTCTTTACCTAATATAGTTACTGCTGTCTATTTTTTCTGTGAAGGTAGAAGGCATCTTGGGTGCTAGTGATCATGAAATGAGTAAGATTCAAGATTCTTGTGAGTGGAAAGAGGGAGAACTGCAAAATATATTCAATGGATGTTGAGGAAGTGGACCACAATAACTTAGAGAACTGGTAGGGAAGCATCCACAGAATGCAGATCCAAGAGAAAAGGAGCTCAAGAGGGTTGGCAGTTTCTTAAATAAACAATATTAAGGGCATAAGCCCACTGTGAAGGAAAAGTGGGAAATATAGTAACATCACTTAGCTCTCTAGTGACCTGACTCAAGGAGGAATCATACAAAAAGTGCATCAGATTACTAAGGATAAACATGAAGATACAGCATGAATACGAAGGGAATGGTAATGATTGGGTCTCAGGGACTGTTTGAGTGGTCATATCTCCCATTGACTCTGGGGGCTGGGCTCAGAGGGCTGGGGGCACAGGTAGTTTTTCTCTTCAATCCTTCCAGTTACAGGTCACAGGCACAGGAGGGAGAGATGTATTGAAGAAGTCAACAGAAGACTGTGGTGTTGGTACCATTGCAGAGGCTTCAGCTTCTTCGATCACAGTCCGCACTTCAGAGAAAGGAGGCAGCAGTTTGTTGGGAAGGGATCGCCTCCACCTCACTCCGATGGGAAATAAGCTCTTTTTGGCCAGAATGGCTGACTTGTCTGACAGGGCTTTAAACCAAGATCCCAGGGGATGGGTGGACAATCACTAGTGCAGGCCCTGGAAGTGACAACCACAGAATCAGCAGGTCTGATAACACAAGGGAACTCACTCCTACCCCAGCCCAAGGACAGGACTCTAAGAGGACAGGGAAGTCCAGGGCTTCCAATGGCAGGCTTAGCTGCCTGTACACAAAATGCCAATATCACAGGGAACAAAACCAGCAGGAACTGATCCTTCCTCTAAGCAAAGATGAATATGATCTCAAAGGGATAACAGAGAGCTGGTGGGACTCCACCCATGACTGGACCACAGGTATTGATGGTTATACCTTGTACAGGAGGGATTGTGTTGCAAGGATGCCTATGCCCACCACGGGACAGGGAGGTCTGGGTGGGGGAGATCCCCTGCCTTCCATAAATGCTGACCTCGTGAAGGAACACCTTGAGAAGCTGGATACCTTCAAGTCAGCCGGCCCTGACAATCTACACCCCAGGGTACTCAAGGAGCTGGCAAGCGTCATAGCCCAGCCCCTGGCATGGATCTTTAAAAACTCCTGGTGCTCTGATGTAGTGCCCAAAGACTGGAAGAAGGCCAATGTGGTGCCTATCTTCAAGAAAGGGAGGAAAGTGGATCCAGCTAACTATAGGCCCATCAGCCTGACTTCTATCCAGGGGAAGATCTTAGAAA